AACGCTCAAAATCAAGTTCTTGTATGAAAAACTTTTTTATGCGACGAGATATCTTCATGAAATTCGGCATGTATTATTGTTTAAGGCAACGCTATAATCTTCGAACAAATTATTGGAATCGGATCATTATAGCATATAGCTGCCATGCAAACTGAACGCTCAAAATCAAGTGCTTGTATGGAAACATTTTTTTGTGTAGAATACTATAGCTTCGCTGCAGTAAGCTCGCTTAAAAATTCTAAACTTCTATTACTTTTAGGCATTAACTCATCCTTCATATCCGACGAATCGCATAACTGGCTGTTACCAAGAACTCGAATTCATTGGAGATGCTATACTAGACTTTCTGATTTCGTGCTTTATATTCGAACGCTATCAACATATGACGCCTGGCATGCTTACAGACTTACGTTCGGCATTGGTCAATAATATAACACTTGGTGGTGTGTGTGTACGTCATCGCTTCCATTTGTTTTTATTAGCTGAAAATAGCGAGTTGGTTGAAAAAATTAAAAATTTTGCCAAATATCAAGAAAAACACAACTACATCGTCACTGACGATGTACAAATATTGATGGACGAGACTTCAGTGCCTACAAATAAAAAAAAGGGCAACGCTTTTAATATGGCGACCAATGTGGAAGTGCCCAAAGCGCTAGGTGACATTTTGGAAGCATTAATCGCTGCTGTCTATATTGACAGTCGCGATTTGCGTACAACTTGGCATGTAATTTACGGTTTGCTAGAACAGGAAATCAATCAATTCACACAAAACATACCGCTGGATGCTGTACGCCAATTGGTTGAGCATAAATACGCTAATCCGAAATTCGCCGATCCGATCTTTGACGAGGACGTATACATGGTAAAATGTCAATTCACATGCCTGGATCGCAGTATGGAGGTAAATGGCTTTGGTCAAAATGGGAAACTGGCAAAGAAAGCGGCTGCCAAGCATGCGCTTCAAATTTTAGCGAAACGCTCCACTTAAAATATTTTTATACTCTCGCAACAATAAACAACAATAAATTTAGATACAACACTGTAATTTGGAACAGCAGATCACAGTAGCGTGGCGAACACATGTGTGCTAACAATTTTTTCTTTTAAAGTGCGCGTAACTACGCCTTCAAATTGGTTTAATGAACCGCTTTGGCTAAATCAACCAAAATTGCTGACAAGTGAAATCTAGTTTTAAAATTTGGCGAGCATATTTTTTATGATGACAACATGCGCTTGCGCCAAAAATGGGTAAAATCGCGTCAATACTTCTCTTAGCTGCCATATACCTAACATAAAAACTTCCTGTTGATTTTATACCGCAACTATTGGTCAATATGTAAGAAATCTTAATGAAATTCCGAAAAAAATCTCTAATAACAGTGCATACTTTTGCCTTAAATGAATGAAAACAGGGCAATACTACTCCTAGTCCTTATATACCTAACATCATATTCGGGTTTTCAAACATCCGCCTGTCTTTATACATTATATATTGTTCAATCTGTGCGATTTCTTAATTTGCAAATTGCGAGTATAAAATGTTCTGTTACACAGTTACGCATTTGCATTTAAACTCTTCTATAGTATTTATATATATAATACACCAAGTGTACTGTAGTTAAACCAGAGACCTTGAAAGAACGAGGTGGTGCAGGTTCGACAGCGAACATTTGTATAATTTTGATCGGGGAGTTCCCCGCACACGCAGTAGAAACAAATAACATTTTTCGCTTTTATAACAGCGGTGAATCTATACACGTATTAACACTCCCAAAGGTGAATATTGAAGAGAAAATAATATGTTTGCCAAACTGGGAATATTTATATGCCACTTGAAATATATTCCCTTTTATTGAACTATTATTTATTAATTTTTAAATTTTATGTTAATTTATTTTTACTTTATTATGAGAAATATATCAAAATACTTTTAAATTATTACTAATAAAGTATTTTAATGTATTTCTTAAAATAATTCATGTACTTGACACCATTACGGAGTCAAAAAAGTACAGAATTGTGTTTTGCCGTCGGCATTTTTATATCATGTGTACATGTAAAGAAATATGAAAGAAACATATTAGTAAATTTGTCTAAAGCCACATACATACATATGTACAAATGTAGATATGTACACGGTCAACCAATGACCGAAGCTCACGTTTTTTGCTTTCAAGTCAAAGATTCAATCTGTCGAAGGAATGACGCGACGACAAAGCGTCACCACATTGTGTTGTTGGTAGCAATTCCGAGATGTACCGAAAAAATAAACGAACGCTCGCCGATTGATGAGAAGTTGGCCTCAAGAGAGGCCTGTGAAAATTGGCTCTCCGAGTTTTTTTTCCAATAGGGACGCAGCCTTCTACGAGAGGGCGCATATTTGACTTAAATCGGACAAATGTACACAAAGTTATCATCTTTTGAAAAATCAATAAAAAACTGAACGAACTTTTTACTTAACCTAATATTTAAGTGGTTTTTAGACAAATTTACAAATATTACTCTTTCATATTTCTTTACATGCACATATGATATGAAAATGCACCTTCTCGTTCATTTACGTTCTCTGGCTACGTAGGAAAAGAAATTTTATAATGTTCACTGTAGTTAATGTTTGAAATTTAGAAATTATTTTAATAACGATATTGAGATTTTGTGCTAAACAAAAACATAAAAATTATTTACCACTATTAGTGGCTAAAAGCTCTTCTCATTTCATATTTAAATTTTATTTCCAAAAGCTAAGCTTTGCTGCATTGACATGATTTTTTACAGCCTTTTAATTATGCGTTAGATTAAGTTTTTCAAAAAGAGTTCGAAACTCTCTCCATACATACATATGTACATTATTATGTGAAGTATTTTTTTTTACTAAATTCAAAAATATATAATAAAAATAAAAAATAAAATAAAAATAAAATGTTGGTTCTGTTCTAGTGATTCAATAGATGCTATTTAGTCGTGGGTTGAAAGAGGTTGTCAGTATACAACATGGACAAGGGAATTACAATACAGGGAAAGTAGTGAGAAGACGCGTGTGAAGAAGTTCTTCTTGTCAAATACTGCATTACATTACAATCCTTGGCTCATTTATACCTTATTAATGGCCTCGAGCGCTATTATTCTTCAATACAAACCACTTTGTGGCTTCAAAGCAGTCCGTTCACTAACATTCTTATATATGCAGCCAAGAAAGAAAATTTCAGATCACATCAACACAATCACATCGCTTCATATCATATGATCACACAACACCAACAATTGGTGGCCCTTAGCAACGTGGACAGGCACTTTCTTATATATGCCCGGTAGCTAAGATCGAAAATTTGAGGTCATATCAACATATCCATATCGCTTCATATCATATGATCACACAACATTACCAATTGGTGGCCCTTAGCGGCAGTATGCTCGACAGACAAAAACAAGATTTTCAGGTCACATTAACACAATGACATCGCTTCATATCATGTGATCACACATCACTATCAAGTAGCGACCCTCTGCACCATGGGTAGGCATTTTCTTATATATGCAGCCAAGAAAGAAAATTTTAGATCACATCAACACAATCACATCGCTTCATATCATATGATCACACATCACTGCCAATTAGCGACCCTCTGCACCATGGGTAGGCATTTTCTTATATATGCAGCCAAGAATGAAAATTTCATATCACATCAACACAATTACATCGCTTCATATCATATGATCACACAACAGTACCAATTGGTGGCGCTTAGCAACGTGGGCAGGCACTTTCTTATATACGAGTATGCCCGACAGACAAAAACAAGAATTTCAGGTCACATTAACACAATCACATCGCTTCATATCATATGATCACACATCACTGCCAATTAGCGACCCTCTGCCCCATGGGCAGGCACTTTCTTATATATGCCCGGTAGCCAAGATCGAAAATTTGAGGTCACATCAACATAATTCCATCGCTTCATATCATATGAGCACACATCACTACCAATTAGCGACTCTCTGTAGAGAATGTAAATTTAAATCTTTTAAGTTCTCTGCCTTCTTGTTCATTTACATTCTCTGCTACAGTGTGATTAAATTTCTATTGTTCCCAATTTTTTAGACTTTTCTGTAAGCACAGCTGTTGAAAAACACATGGCAGAGAATGGGACGAATGAATTTAAAGAAAATCGAAAGACAGCTGATTGCAGTAGCATTTAATTTGGCTTTAACATTTAATGAAAACTTATATCATTCAAATGATATTGGTTAAGTAAAACTAATTTTATATTAGTTGTAATTTATTTAAGCAAATAATGTCGTCTGTCTCTGCTGCTGCTGCCCTGGAAACTGAAGATCCCGTAGAGTTGATGCTTAAGAAAACTGGTTGCATTGAATTGCATTACAAAGTACAAGAGTGTATTGCCGAAACAGGGGATTGGCGCCGCTGCCAAGAGGTGGTAAAGGAGTTTAAGCAGTGCATGCAAAAATACACCGAAGGACAAATGAAAAAATACGCCCAAACAAAATAAAGCAAAAAAAAAGCGAAAACAGTTAACTTTATATTAGAAAAAAATGCTTAAACAAATCTTTAGTGCCGTTACTGCACCACGTACGAAACTGGTATTAGTGGTGCGAGGTGATTTAAAAATGTCTAAAGGAAAAACTGCTGCACAGTGCGCACATGCAGCTATACTTTGCTATCAACAATCTCAAAAGGAACAAGATAAGCAAAAATTAGTAGAAGCTTGGTCAACTTTGGGACAACCCAAAATTGTATTGCGTGTAAATACCTTAGAAGAGCTTACAAATTTACAAAATCGTGCTAAAAATGCAGGTGTAATCGCTGAATTAGTACGAGATGCAGGACGTACGCAATTAGAAGCTGGTACAGCAACAGTTTTGGGCATTGGACCGGATATAGAAAAAAATGTAGATGAATTGGTATCCAATTTAAAACTATTATAGTTTACGAACTGATGAAATAAATACAATTTGTTAACGAAAAAATAAATATTTTATTTTTAACAAATTTTATTTTAATTCGTTTTCTTACTTCGTGTGGATATGGTTAAGGAGATTGGTTTTCCAAAAGTTTCTACTAAATCAGAAGTTACACGTTCGGTAATTTGTCTTAATTTTCCATTCGACTCGCCACAAATTAAACGTTCAATACGAGCTGACGGACAAGTTACCTCTACTGATGCATAAACTGTGCCTGTATAGAAAAAGATTGATACACAAGTATTTACAATAATAACAGATATTATATGGTAATACCATTATCTTCGAAAAGTATTCAATTGCGCTATGCAAATTGTATGTATTTCTTTGGTAAGTAATCTAATAGTCTGCGCGTACACTCTCACAATAAGCGCTTCCGGTTTTTCATCAGTAAAAGACCTTTGGAATATTCCCAGATCGCTCCTTTGCGGCTCTTATCAGATAATCCTTATTACAATTGCAGCAGTATTGTAAATTAATTAGTATTGTTTTACTTTAATTGAAATAGTTTGTATCGTTATCCTTACTTGTATATCATTTAGACCACTACCAGTAATGGATGAAACTAGAAAACTCTTGAAGTTACTCCAGCTGACATCTTCTTATCCTCTGAATTTGCTACTGGCTTATCAGGGGATTCTTCAATTCGCTTATACTGTCGTTTTTGATTTTTATTCCCAACTGATTGTGCGGTATTAATAGTGTTATTGGTTAGGATGCGTATCAGTTCAAGCAGCACACGTTTAGATTTCAGTGCATCAATCTTATTCAAAATCAAAAGCTTGGTAAATTTTGTATTCATTCAGTGTTTCGATCACAGTGGAATGTAAAGCGTTACGCGTCCATGAATTGATACATCATGCATACAAGCGATAATATCTGCATGTTGAATTGCATGTTTGTAGGCGCTTTTGAAACTTTGTTCCAAATTATGCCTTTAATTTCACGTGGTGTAACTAAACCTGGTGTATCATAGAAGACAAGTTGGGTTTGTCCCGTTGTATAAATTGCTTTGCTGGATTTTCGTGTTGTATGCACTTTAGACGAAGTCGGACATACCTAAGCGCAAAGTCAATTATAAAGCTCAATTGAAATTTTCGTAGCAACGCTTACCCGATGATTAATTAAGTTGTTAATAAATGTACTTTTCCTGCGTTTGGAACGCCAATAACCGCTATATGCAATGAATTCTGCGTGCGTTTATGTTGTGCTTTGTTCAATGGGTAGTAAGGTCTGTCGTGCGGCAGATGCAGAAAACTTTGCAGTAGCAGAGCTATCATGCAATGATGATAAAACTAAGCTACGTATATTTCCTGTCCGAACTTCATTATATTTGCTAAATCTTAGCAATATTTTGTTACTCCACCAAAATTACTCAACAATAATTCCATTATCGCATTAGAACTGTGTGATTGCAAAATAATTTTAAGAATAATTGCGAAAGCAAAGCAAAACAGAATAAAAGAAGATACCAGATGTACAAGTTGTTTTAATTTTTGTTTTTCCGATATATTCTACACATTTCTGTTTAGATGCTTAAATGTCCAGAAACCATTGTTATTGTAAAGTGAAAATTGAAAATAGCTGTAGAACTACTATTTTAGGTGGAGGTATTATATATATGTATTTTCTAATAATAAGTTTATAACAAAACTGCTGGCTCACAATAAATTGTATTTTGCAAACGATAAAATCTCATTTACGAAGGAAATCTTCTCTCTTTTGT